GTAAGATGGAAAGAAATCGCACCAATAAGCTCCTGAAAATATTCAGGACTATGGTATCTTAATTTTAGGAACATAATTAAAATACCAAAAACTTAATGTCCTTTAGATACCAAAGTTAAGCAATCACAAATTATGAGCCATCAGAACCAACTGTTCTGCACATCCCAGCTCCCCACCACCCCTCTACATCCGGGCAAGTCATCACCCTCCACCCTGCGCTGCTGCTGCCAACAACAGCACCGGGAATCTCTCCCATCTTCCTGTGACCCCAGTCACCTCAAGTTACTGGGACAAGCAACTGCTGGATCAAAACACTGCCCCCAGGCACAGGCATGATCCAACACATCCTAGTTCACACACAGGGCGCACGGAATGCTTGGTACAGACAGACTAGCTGTAGAATACAACAGAGGTCTATTCCTTTGACGTGTTTTTTCCCTCAGGATGGAAGTTAAGTCAGACAAATTGGCTCCGGACAAACTTCAAGGTCTTGCTCCTAAAGCTAAACTTGCTAGAACTTCCCAAGGAGGACTGCAGAAGTTTTAAAGATGCACCATCCTACACCGCCCAGAACAATTTCCCCTGTGTGAGCTGAAAAATCTTGGGCAGATATCCAGCATGGAAATCTAACCAGACTGAGCATCTGAAGCCTGACAAAGTAATGAAACAAGCAGAGCATTGTCACAGAAGATATGAGGCAATCCCAGTTATAGGTGATTTGCATACTCTGTGTTTTGTCACCTTCGTGACGTGTAGTGATGCCACCAGACTGACTGAACATACCTTCTGCACTGTGTCACATATGCTTTTCTCATTAATTGCACAGATTTTCTCTTTTAAAAACCAAAAAGCTTCAAAGTAGCATTTAAAGTTAAAAGCAGTACCCTCCACAATCTCCACTTGACATATACTTCATTTTCCCCCTTCTTTATTAAAACTGTATTAATCTAAAATACAGGTAAATCAGAATTGAGTTGTACGTCAGCAAAGCTGGCTCAGGAATTTCCATCTTCTAATCGCGCCACTAAAAACACCCTGGAATTTTTCTGCTGAGGTAAAAGAGAGAATCCCAGTATTTCAGTGGGAATAGAGATTGTATCCACAGATTTACACAGATTCAGAGAGTGGTAGGGGTTAGAAGGGATCTCTAATCCTACCCCCCTGCCAGAGCAGGATCACCTGGAGCAGATCACACAGGAACAAGCCCAGGCGGCTTTTGAAGGTATCCAGGGCAGGAGACTCCACCACCTCTCTGGGCAGCCTCTTCCAGGGCTCTGTCACCCTCACAGTGAAGAAGGGTTTCCTCATGTTCAGGTTGAACCTTCTGTTTTCCAGTTTATGGCCATTGCCCCTGGTCCTGTCACTGGACACCACTGAGAAGAGCCTGGCCCCACCCTCCTGACACCCACCCGTTAGATATTGATAAGCACTGATAACATCCCCCCTCAGCCTCCTCTTCTCCAAGCTGAACAGACCCAGCTCTCCCAGCCCTTCCTCATGTGGAAGGTGCTCCAGGCCCTTCACCATCTTAGTGGCCCTGTGCTGGACCCTCTCCAGTAGTTCCTTGTCCTTCCTGAACTGAGGAGCCCAGGACTGTCATGTCCAACATGGACACATTTAAGAACGGCACAATTTGCAAGACATGTTCTTAACACAGAGATACTCTGAAATCAATTTCCCAATTTCAAATGTTTGATCATAATTTTTCATTTCTCCACTGTAAATGGGTATAACAGCACTTTAAATTTTCTGTCAACCTTTGACCTTAGTTGGTGCTTAAGGAAAAACTTCACTCAAGTGTAGGTAGGCAGAGTAGGTGAAAAAGGCGAGTAAATGACAGTATGTATGAGCAGGTTTTTTATCTCTTTCTCTTATGTGTAAATTTTCTTTTTCCTATGAAATTATAATGGGTTTGTAAGAACAGTTTTTAAAAGGAAACATATGTCAGTGTTTGGAAACCACTGGATGGATGTCAAGTACATAAGCAAAATTAATTAGCTGCATAGCAAACTCATTAATTTCCAACCTAAAAATCACCTTTGATGTTTTAACATCACGTTAGTACAGGAAACACAAATACTGAATATAATAAAAAGTACCTGTAGAATGTAATTTTAAAGGTAGTAAAAATTAAATGTATTTAAATTGAACTAAGTCCAAATTGCAACATCAAACTACTCAGGCCAATTTAACTATATTAGTCTTATAAAATGTTTATGGACTGGGATTACAAACCTATACAAGATTAATTATCCACAGTAAGTAATTTAAAAGAGGTTTTTGGAATTTTGTTATTTTAAAGAAATGAATAGTGAACACTTCTGTATGACAAAGCAATTTAAGAACTGAAGGAGTTAAAAAACAGAATGATTAAATTAGAAAAAAAAATGTATTTTCAACATAATTGAGTTAAGTATGCCCACACAAACGTGCTATATTTAATGTAAACAAATACGTGCCTTTATTATAAAGACAACTGAAAATCAAGGCCCTGCAGCTTACCTGTCTGACTGTTGCATTAGCCAACACAGCTCTGGTATTGACTGTCGTACTAATGCTGCTCTCACAGGGAAAGATACAGGCTGGGAAAGTGTACTGCATATCTGAGCCATTTCTTCCACCATCATCCAATCATAGCCTACAATAAAGACCATTTGGTTAAAGACAACTCTTCACAAATACGACTTCTATCCAAATAAAGACACGACGACTTACAGACTGGTTGGGATGCAAGACAAGAGTTCTGTGAAAATCACTTAATTCTAAAATTAAATTATCAAATTATTATAAATAAAAATGCCATTCTCCTGAAGAAGAAAAGCCGTAAGAACATGGAATACAAAGCCTTATGCTGAAAACCTTTTCCAGCAGCTAGAGTGTTATTTTACATATAGCTATGGAGTATGACGTTTTACAAGTTCCAAGAAATTTTATCTTTGCACTCTCTTTAAAAAAACAGCGCTGCCACAGACTTCAGTAAGGACTAGTTTTAACTTGACAGTGACCCTTTAAAAACAGACACATTTTGAAAAATTTAGGAAAAAAAAAAAGGGGGCGGAATTAATCCAGTAAAATATTTTTGGTTATACAGCAATGAAGTACATAAAACCTCTTGTACGTAAAAAGTGCTAAAAGTCAAGCCATCTAAAACGCCTGAAGTGCCTGCTGTTGAGATGTTTACAAGCACTGGAGCTAGTTAAAATGGCATTTAACTGTTCTCTAACTTCTACAGGCTGTGAAAATCTTAACTTCAGTAACAACAGCCAGCACCTTTTTTCCCGATTACTCACATGCAATGTAGGGACTGGAAAGACTAAAAAAAGCACCAAATCTTAAGAAAAGGTTTTGTTGGGCAAACAGCAACTTGCAGTTGAAATCGGTGAAATAAGTTGTTGGGCACTATGCTGCTGCACACATGTGCGTGTGCGCGGGAGTCAAATGCCCGAACCAAGCAGCTATGACGACTGTGAGGGAAGCCCGCGAAAAGGCCCCTAAGAAAATGGTTACGTGTGAAGGATTTAAGTTCGCGTTAGGCATTAACAATGAGAAACTTCCATTAGACTCTCAAACCTGAGATTTGAAAAGATTACTAACATCAACAAATTGGAGTATTTATTGCAAAAATTCAACAGAAATGAAATGGTAGAAACAATGTTGACCTACAGTTCGATTTCAGTTATCTACTGCGAAAGCACACTGATAGGGTTTTAAATTTTCCGCTAATTTATTTTTCTTCAGGAAACGTGCCAGAGTTCTGATGATCAAACCGATCCCCCTAGGATTCAGGGAGCAGTGTACCCGAAACAGGGTGTAAGCAACCTGTCCCCAGAAAATCCTCAATATGTGCAAATGAGCTGAAGAACCAAAAACTGTTCAACAACAACAATATCAGGTTTTTATATGCTTCTGCTGCAACCCAAATGCTGAGCTAACTGCTGTAAGAAGACACGATCAAACATACACCAACAAAGAAAACAGTTCTTATTATATTCATCATTATTTTCAAACCAACTGGGTGGCACACAGCTTATTTTGAATCAACTGTGAAATGCATTTGAAGAAAATTGACTACGCAGCGTTAAGCACTAAATATTCTATTTTCACCTTTATTGTGTCTGTCAGGGCGCCAGCCAGTTGTCCATCCCAGCGATAAGGTCACATTTGGGAAGAACGAAGTGACGGTGTCAAGGAACCCTTTTGCATCCACTGCAGCACTGTTTCCATTCGGTCCCAGTAGGACATCTGCGTTGATCCAAACGGGTCTCCTCAGATGCTGCTTCACTTGCTCAAGAAGCTCCAAGGATGGCTGGACGGCTTCTAGGCTGTGCCGGTAACACATGGGTGAAATGAGACGCCGCACTGCGACTGAAGATGGGAAGGGTAGAGGGCATACAGAGGGGTTAACGAAACTCTCCCTGTCAGCCAGAGAGCAAATGCTGAGGACCCTTTCTACCATAAGGTGACTGTTGCTGCCGGTGTAAAGTAGCGTAACCCCCTTATCACCCTGCTGCCCAACATGAACTGCCTCACAGCCCTCATCTCACGGCTATTCTAACTCCTGACCTAAGATCTGGATGTTACTGAACTCTTGGGAAGGACTGGAATGAAGGAAGCCGCTGCCGTCTCTCACACTTTTGTAGCGGTCATTCCCACAGCTCCAAAGTGTGGCGTGGTAGCGGCAGCATGACGAAGCCTGCCCATCAGACGTTCATCCTACCGCTAGTTATTAAATAGGAGACGTGGTCACCTGAGCAACCAGTGTAACGCCCCTTGTAAGCGTTTAACGAAACATCTCAGGTTACACATTCTCACTCTTCTCTCAGATCAAAAGTGTAGCTAGAAGGCAAACAATAACCTTACGCTACCCTGCCAGGACTTTCGAAACAGCAGTATTGTGGAAAGAACGGAAATGTGGATTGATGGGGAAAAGGAATGAATGCCAAGAAAACACATATTTTTTCTCTCACAGCAAATTAACTAACATCTTAACAACATTCAGGAATTTAAAATCACTGTGGTCAGAGTCCCTTACTGACAGCAAGGACCTGTGTTTCCTCCTGCGACTTGTGAAAAGCTCTGAATAAGCCATCCTCTAGCTTTCCCTTGGAACCTTGCCGAGACCGGATACAGAGCTGAGCCAACAGAAAACTCATGTTGTTCTGCAGGGTTAGTTTCCCGGCTCAGCTCCTAAACTGATCCCTCTGGGTGTCACGGGAGCACCAGGAAAAGCAAGGGGAAGAGAAGGCACTGTGAAGAGCAAGGAGAGGATCACAGCTACTCCAGCCTACACAGAGACCACGGGTGCCTGTTGAACGACACAGAGGATGGCTAACTGCTACTGTGTCTTCCCAACTCCCAATCCATTGTATCCCTAGCCTCCTACACCAGTGCCGATGCTTGCCTTCACAGCAGTGTCTGAGTTCAGGGACATGAAGTGGTAAAAGACTATTCTCATTGTTTTTTAAGGATGGCTCCGTACCAAGTTATTCCCAAACCCAATTCATGATGAATCATGTCAAGATTTGCAGCCAAAACCAGGAAGGGCAGCCAGCTGTCACATTATGTTAACTTTCAAGCCAAAAGCCACCTGAGCTGCCTGTGTTATTTCCTGTAAAAAGGGATTTTGTACATTTCAGCTCTTGTACTGCTGAGAAAGCTGCATAGTGGCAGGAACTCCTCTCAGCACTTTCAGTCAGTATTAGCTCAAGCCTTCTCAGAGAAAAGCTAGTGATGGCTTGAGTTAACATCATTGGCGGAAGTATTTCTCACACTGTCTGAGGCAAGAACAGCTCATGTTTTCCCACATACAAGCGGCAGTCAAAGCCAGTGGAACGCCTTCCTTTTTACTATAAAGCGTAAGATAATGTCGAAAGAAAAAAGCCCAAAGCGGCGTCTCTTGAGACAAACAAAAAGCTCCTCAGACAGCACCGTTTTCGCTGCACAGCATTTCGAAAATGCAAGGGTACCGCTGACTCCGTGACGATCGGCGCTGGTGGTTCTGAAATGGGACTCTGAAGTCCTTTGGCAGAACACGTCATTCCGGTGGATAAAGCCAGCAAAAACTGTGATTATGTGGCCAATCGAGCTGACAGCAGAAACATATGAAGTATTTCTTTTTAAGCAGGGATGAAGTAATCGACAAAACTTCAGCAATGTTATCCAGAGAAGGGGATGATCTGTACCACTCACTTGGCGGCGTCTGCACCGCGCCTGTATTTTTTAAATGCTTTTATGCAATTAGACTGTTGTAACGCAATATAATTTTAAAAGCTTTTTAAACTCACTGCACTTGGCTGGAAATTCCTTGTAGAAAAATAAGACATAGCTGTTATTAAATTAAACAATAAATAAAATGAAAAAGAAACCCAAAACAACAAAACCAACAACGAACAAACCCAAACAGATGCCTACTTGTCTTGTCCTTCCCCTTCTCTGTCCGGGCTGACTTGTACGGATCCCGATGACAACAAAAGGATTTAGCCTGCCCCCAATTTTTGTTCTTTCATGAACCTTCACATGAAAACTGTGATTGCATTACACAAAATAGCTACAAATCACATTTTACAACTACCCAGCAGCTTTTCTGGCATTTCTACAGCATCCTTAGGCATTGATGAAGCTATTTTTAGTGTGGAAGTGGATTCTCCATCTGCTCAAAGATAGAAATTGTCCATGCAAATTCAGATAAAGCTGAAGCCAGGGGTTGCAGAGGTGTACATCTAAAAATCACAGCTGACTCTAAATCCCATTTAAAATGTTTCAAGGCAATCTCATGGGGTTTGCAGGTGTATTTTCCATTAAAGACAGCTAATGGTTAAAATTCTAAATAAACCTCTGAAAATTTAATTAAGAAGTTAGGCCACACAAACGGAATTTACTTCAATATACATACACCTCACCACACAAAAAGCAAGACAACATTTCTGTATTACAAACCATGCTGAAGAAATTTACCACCACATCATACATGGTATGAGATCAGCTGTTCAAAGGAGTACACCTAATTCTTGACCTGAGACATCCCCAGTAGATTGTCAGTACTGGAGCTGATCAGGATCCAGAATTTCTCTCCTTGGGGAAAGAAGAAGCCCAGGGAAAATAAAAATATTCACACTGGTATGGGATGATGTTTCTAAATTAGCATGAACTTCAGCAAACCTGCAACAAAAGTTGGCTTTTCAGCAAGCTTTTTAGAAGTTCTTTGAAAAATCTGGACATTTTCATTCCCTTTCTGAGGTAGAGAATGACACCAGGAAAACCGGAGGATGGCAGGAGATGCCTGTGTGCTGCCAGGCAGAGAGACTCAGGGAGCTGAGACCCATCTGCAGCCTGGGAGCCACTATCTGACTTCCCAACTGGAAGCTTGTCTTTCCTAACTGCACAAGCAGAAAACTTAGAGGAGCTTCTCTGTTGATTTTTGAGTTGGTGTTGAATTTGCTCAATACCAACTCAGTAACAAATTCATTGAATACAAAATCATTATCTACAGTTCAAAAGACTTTCAAAAGCTTTTATTCTTGCAATGCATTCAGTAAGACCAATTATGTTTCACTGCATTTTCTGTTCAGGAAGGAATGCAATACACTGAACCTCACAATAAGAAACAGTTCGGTCTACCACTGCCAAAAGATCATTAGCACTACCTCTAAAATTGTTAACTAGTCAGAATGCAAAAATATACAGATGTTTTTGTCTTGAGATACCTCTTAAAATCCAGTTTGATGCCTTTATTTGTGTTGACAATCTCTTTTAGCCATTCCTGCAACGTGTTGTCACTGTCTGTCTCAGGCGGATGAGCCATGATAGGGTCTCCATTCCCTCCCTTGCCACCACGAAGAAGAACATCCGCTTCTATCATGTGAACATCACCTGTTGATTTTAAAAGCGTGTGCTCTAACAGAAGCAAATCCAACAGTTCCAGTGTCTGCTTTGGAGTAACAATTACAGAACAAGTCTTTCTACACCGGCCTGTGCACACATTATACCTCCACAAAGATCACCCACAGCGAGTTGCATCATGTGAAGCAGCAGCGATGCACTTCTTCAGGTCCCTCGGCCACTAAACTCCTCAGAAATCTACACCCACATGAAACTGACCTTCGTGGATACATTTGGCCAAGTAATCACAACGGGTTTTTTCAGACGTAAAGTGAATACCCAAAACGTTAATCCACTCTGGCTGAATTTCCAATACTTTCCTCTTAAAACAGGGTCTCAAGCAGAGTCTTAAGAAAGAAAAGGTGACCAGAAGATTTGACAGAGGCAGAGTATTCCCCTTGTCTCATTCTCAAAACTGACCAGTCCATCTCAGCCAAACCTTTACCAGCCAGCCAGCCACATCTGCCATGAAAATGGTAGTGGAGACACGGGACAAGTAAGTGGAATCTTAGGAATGCTGCGAGCTCTTGAGAATAGCTTTCTGTAATGAGAAGCATCTGAGAGCCTGGGCAACACTACCAGCTCTGCAGAGAATTCCATCTATTGAGCTACTTAGGCTGAAACAGCGATGAAAAAGATAATAATTACACAGTCAATAGAAAGAAAATTGCATATAAAATTAAAGAAATAAATGATGTATTTCCCCAATATTCACATAAGTTAAATTAAATTAAAATTCACTGAAATAAACTGCTCACAAATTACCTGAAATACTTGAATTGTCTTGAACAAAAAAGGGGGGAGAGACCAGTAACAAAACTGTCCTGTAGGACCTAAGAAATACCACCCAGTGCGTTACAACATTACACCATTTTAAACCATCCTAAAGAGACCTAGAAGAAGATCCATCCATACCGAGTCAAAACTACCTGGGAATCCTGAACTGTGGCAGGAGGAAACGTTCTGCAGCACAGCCCTGGCAGCGCCGTCACAAGCACCCACCCTCGCAGCACCGCAGCGCCGGCCCAACGGGCAGACACCCGCCGCAAAGCCAGCCTGAGTGTTCCGGTCGTGTCCCCGGAGGGTCTGCTTCACTGCCCGCTGCCCTTGTAACTGCACTGACACCAAACCTCATCCAGCGGAGGCAGGCAAGGAAGGACGAAAGGGCTTTCTATTGGGTCATTCACATTTACTGCTTTCCAGGGCAGATCCATAAACAGAAGCGTCAGCACGGTGGGAAGGGCAACTACCGCAAGGACAGGCAGGAAAGAACGGAGAAAACTGGGCCACTGCTGCCCAGGCTGGTGTATCAGGGAGCTGCGGTCTAACCTCAGCAGATCACGTGAGAGAATCAGTGTTACCTGCAGCAGGGGCTGCTGTGTTCCCCTCTACACACACAAACTGAACAACACTCCAGACAAGCTCAGTTTGAGCGTATGATGCCACATGACTCCTTCACGGTGGCTCCTGTCTGCTGGCAGGGGATGAAGCTGGCGAGTATTCAAGGACCTTCTCCAAGCTCAGGAGCGATGCATCCCAGTTGGTAAAAGCAGCCACAGGCCTGTGTGGATGAACAAGCAGCTCCTGGACAAAATGAGGCAAAAAAAAGCAGCCTACAGAGGGTGAAGGCAGGGACAGGGAGCCTGAGAGGGGAACAGGGAAGTTGTCCGAGAGGTC